AACTCACTTTATGACAGCAGCAGTATCGCCACAGAGTACCTTTGTATAAACGTATCACTAAGGCAATACGAGGTCATCGGTCATACAAACATGTGGCCCAAACAAACAGATCCTGTGGTACACCTAGTTGTCAAGAGGTATTAGCAGACTTGACAGAATACAAGACTCGCAGGATAGGGATATAAACGGAAAATTGTGGCAATGAAAAGGTAAACAGTTCATTGTTACCAGCGTGCTTAGAAACTAGACCCTAACTTCTTCTAAGGTAAGAAAGAAGCTCCAAAAAGTTTGAAGGGTTACAGTAAGTACAACAACTGTGAGAAAAAGACCGAAATTGACCAGAATAAATTCACACTTGCCTGCCAGAGACCCCTTGCCACATGCTATTGAGTAACTCAAGTTAATTTTGCTCACAATCACGAAAATTAGAATGACGAAGCTTGGAGTCTATTCACGGATGAGTCTAAATTTTTTCTGAAGCCAGATGATGGAAGAATTACAGTGTGGAGATGTCTGGGAGAGCGGTACGCTTAGTGCAACATCGTTAGAAAAGAGGCATATTATGGAGGATCAGTTATAATATGTTGATGTGGGGCCACATATGGAAGTATGCGTCATTGAGAATAGGTCACTAACAACTGCACAATATGTGACTGAGATTTTGGAACAAATTGTAGTGCCATTTGCCCCTTTTATAGGAGATAGATTTGTTTTTATGCATGACAATGCACGTCCCCATACTGCAGCCACAGTTGATAAATATCATCAAAACATTTAAATGAATGGGTAGAGCCAGCGCTCTCAACCCACTTAAACCCCATACATCATGTATGGAATAAACTTGGAAGACAAATTAAGGAAAAAAAAGAAAAAATTTTATAAAAAATATGAACAGAATATTATTTAAAAGTAAAATGTGAAAGTACAAAATTGTTCTTTTTTTAATTGGTTTTGATTGTGTTTTTGGTAAAAAAAATGTGGTTTGTGTTTTCAATGTTTGCAATTTTAAATTAAGGAATAAAAAGCAAAATCAAAATTAGTATACCTAATTTTTCAGAAATACCCGTGATGTTTTGTTTTATACAACCTTTTTATTGTGTTCCTCTACATTTGTCCATGAGTATATTTAAAATATCCATAAGAACATTCTTTATAGAAACAAATCCTTAACTAAATTATTGGAATAATTCGAATTACTTTTTTAAATATTTACTCGGTATTTTACTAGCACTTAATAGCAGTAATGCTTCTGTGCATCTTATGGTAGCTGTAGAGAAATGGAAACCCTTTTTCCTCGTAACTGGACATTCCATCTTGAATTGAATAGATGTTTCAATCAAGGATATATGTCTATGGATCACAGCATCCACTTACCATCAGGTGGACCGTGTGCTCATGTGTCACTCTTCTTCTTTTCTATCTTGTTCTATTTAAAAAAAAAGTTATTTCCTGTTTTTTTTTTTTTGAATCCTTAAGTACCCTTTAATTTTAAATATTTTTTATTATTTACAAGCAATTTATTTTCATGGATGTTTTAATTGATTTAATAAAATGTCTCTTTTGCAATTTATTTTAAACTTAACAATTTTATTGTTTAGTCATCCCTAATCAATAAAATTGATATAATTATTTTCGACAGTTCCTGTTTGATTTTCGACAATCGGTAAATTTAGACTAATTTTTCGCTAAAGGCGACTCGCTGCCATCAGAAGTCTGCCTTAAAAATCAATACCACCGGTTTACAGACTTTAACCAAAGTGGGTTCTCTCCAAAAATATAAACACGAAATTTTCACGCAAAAGGCCCAGAAACTTCACGTCCTTGTCGTCTTCGTCATTACTAACTTATTGTTTACGACAAGCAAACCACTTTCCTAGGACTCCGCAGTTTGTGAGTCCGATACGGAGTTTAATTGCTTAACTTAGTTATGGCGGGATGACTCACCTCCGGACATTAAAATGTGAATGTAAAATGTATTAATAACTAGATCAAAAAGCGACATCACATAATCTTTTTTAGTTTTCTTTTTTATTTCGCGGTACCTGCAAAAATCTTTCATTACCTTTATTCAAATTAAATATCGGAATGTTTTGTTGTATTTTAACCGACTTTAAAAAAGGAGGAGGTACTCAATTCGACCGTATATTTTTCTTTTTGCATGCAGAGGTATGTTCTACTAGCGCTTAAAACTCAAGAATCCTACGTTTTGTCGCATGAAATCATATCAAACAGTCATATTGAACATATAAATGATATAAAAAGCACATTTTCAGAAAGATAAATGATTGTTGAACTTATACATTATGGTCCGCATGGAGGAGTAAACACGATAACTTTTGAAAATATCTGTTGTTCAACTCAATCTCTTTTTTAATCTATTTATCTATCACGTGGGAAGCCATGGAATGTACATGGCAGTTTAATTTTGTTTTAATTATAATAAATTTTTTTCGGCTGAGAAATTACGAAATTTTCGGTGTTTTGAGCAGCCCTGCAATAATCTATTTTACTTAATACACTGAGTTTTTAACTCACTCTGGGCTCGGCTGCCAACGTGAGTGGACTACAGTATCGTTTGTTTACAGCCGCCCGTGATGAAAAATATCGATCGTTGTAGAAATATAAAATATTCCAAATACAATAGATTTTTATTACAATATATTGTTTTGCTAAAACTCAAAGGATTTATATATAACTATACCTATACGTCGTAGACTTTATGGAGTGACCAGAGAGGGTATTTCGGTATCTGCTACTGGAACTTCTTGACGAGTAGAACTAGTTATGTCGAGATTGTGCTCGTTAATTGTGATGAGACCTTACCTCACTTGATAGAGTGATCTGAAGGTGTGATAGAGTGATCTGAAGGTGTACTTTGATGGATGCTAAATTAAAAACTAGATGAAAAACGAAATAAAGTTGATGAGAATTTTTTTTATTAACGAGTCAGGTAAAAGAACTAGTTTTTTCGATACAGCCCGAGTACCTAAAAATTATAGTGATTTATAAAGTTGATTTCTAATCGTATTAAGATGATTCTCTAAAAGTTTTTTCGATTAACAATAAAAGGAAAAAAAATTCTATGGTTGATTGAGATTTTTTTTACATTTGTTCACGATCATATGAGCATTTATAAGTCGTGCCTTATAAATGCTTTGAATTTTCCAAAAATGTTTTTTTATTTACGTTTGACATAAAATTATCGGAAATTTAAAAGTATAGTAATAAGGTTATTAGTGTAAACATGTTGTGTGAATTTAAAATACTTTAAAAAATTGACGTATAACATGAGCGCTTAAAGCATGCACACTTGGAATTACCAAAAGTTTTTATGTGTGTTACCTTAGACCTTTTTATAGGTAAACCGATTTTGATGATTATTTTTTTATTTGAAAGCTGACGTTTTTCATGTAGTCTCATATAAATTTGATCAAGATCTGAAAAGTAGTTTTTGATTTGTCCTTAATAATGCGTATTTAAATGACTTCGACTAAATTGACGATGTTCTCGTTTTATTAATATTGAAGTGGATTGTACAAAATTTTTAATTCTACCATTTGTTAAATGGAAATTAGGGTCACAAACAAGCACACAATTATTCTCAATTATGAATTAAAATGCAGATATGTTGTCCCCATTGAAGACTATAATGGAATATCTGATTGCTAGTTAAAAGAGTCTCTGGTTCCGCACAGCAGCACAATGGTTTAATTCACGCTGGTATTCTGTGCGGACCTTCTCCCGTTGAGCTGACCCATTTGTGCTGCAACCATAAAATACTATAATACACACATAATAGAACGGGGGTGTGGGCTGATCCCGCGTAGCCACTAAAATGTCACTAACACGTCAATTCACACGTATAAATGTCAACTCGAGATGTGTTTTGACGTTACAATCGTTTCCAAATTTGGCATGCAAATTATTTAGAAAATGCCAATTGCTCCCTATTTACAAATAAATATGTATTAAAATATAAACGATTTTTTAATGATCTTGAACATTAAACAATAGTCTAAAATGTTTAAATTTATTCAGTCTGTCAACACAGCGAATCGGGTTTGGCGACGCCAAGCCTCGTATAAAATAAAGTTGACAGCCATTCTATTGTGTATTATAGTATTCTATAGCTGCAACCTATTTCGACCGCCAAGCACGCGACTGACCAAGAATGCATCTACAGCTGTTTCAATTTGGAGGGTAAAAGAGATAGTATAATTACAGGCTTGTGAAGTATTTAATTTTCATTAAAGCCCTTATCGATAAAAAGTGTAGTAAAAGTAAGTTTCATTGAAGTTGGCTGCAGTGGCAACTTACTTTCAAGCCAACTTGTCCGCCATTCTAATATTATAAAAAATGGCTTACGGATCTTAGCAGTATGCTTACCTTAATAGTAAATCCTAATGGCATGAATGCGTCGGCTCGACCGTGGTAGGTCCACGATCTCACAGAATACCAGCGTAAAATAGCAGCTTCATGTTGTTGTGCTACGTATGGTATTAATGTGAGTGGTGAGTGTGATAAGGATGACAAGCAGGCACACAGTCCACCTGATGGTAAGTGGTTGCTGTGGCCCATAGACATCTACACCTATCCTCGATTACAAATCAAAATGCAGATGCGTTGTCACTCGTGAGGACTAAGATGGAATGCCTTGTTTCCAGTAAAAAGGGTCTCCGGTTCTCTACACTCACCATACGAAACTCAGCAGCGTTAAGCTACTATTTCACCCTTGTATTCTGTGAGAGCGTGATTCTTCCCCGGTCGAGCCGACCCATTTGTGCTACAGCTATATACTACTAATATAACTGCAACATGACTTTGCCACGTTTAAAAAAGTGGACATGTGCTTAATGCTAATTTAGGAATAAGACCTCTTGCGTTAGGCTCTATTGATGCTTATGGGTTGAGACCAATACTATAAAATATTAATAATTACAATAATAATAAATCAAATTTGGGAAATGCTTAATAAAATAGCAGTTTCTTTTGTTATTCAGGTACAAAAGCTCCCCCAAGGGAAATTCAATTGGATAATGCTGTGCTGCCAACAGATCCTGGTATGATACGCGTTAACACTCCTCCGCGGGTGATAACTCTCGACCAGCACTACTTCCCTTCGGCTGATGACTTTCTCGCTGATACGGCTAGCTCACCACCAAGGAATATGCGAACGACACGCTCGCAAGGCGACGGAGCGCGGGCCGCCACACCACGTTGCGATAATTTTAACGAGTCGACCATGACCGAGTCTAGAATTGTTTTAAGGTATCATTTCTTAGAATTATTTAATTTGGGGTGCTATTAACCATAATATTTTTATTTATTTCATTTTGTGCACACTAAAAACAAATATTTATTACACAAATGTGTAAAAATGTTGGAGACAGAGTAAAATTATATTAGAAGCCAGTTGATTAACCAATTAATTATAGTAAAACCAAATTAGAGAATAAAGGCCCTATTTGACTAAAGTATGTGCCAAATCGATTGAGAAAAACGGACAATGACCTTTCGGTCGTTTAACCAGGGGTTACAAACCATCAATATATAGGCACATTTTATATTTAGTACTTTATTTATTTATAATGATTGATATAGTATATATTTATTAACTATTATTAAAAAGTTATGTAAAATATCGCTGTAGAAGAAAAATCATCTATTGTTATAAAGTACTTATTCATTTAACAACAAAAAGCATTAAACTATAACACATATAAAGATTCGAATGAACTGACGTAACGCGCGTTTTGTTTATTTTAAAGGGATGAATTTGCAAAAGCTCAATATGATGATTATATTGCTTCAAATATTTTTTTTTAAATATGGAACTGTTATTAAATGAATTGCTGCGTTACTACATAAATTGAAAATTAAAATATAACACATTTTTCGCGATGTACCGTAAGATTTTACGATGTTTATAGGAACCACAGACAATATTATTTAAGAAACAAAAAACAAAACATATGTGCTTACCTAGAAGTGTGAATAACATCAATATTTAAATATTATTATCACATCTAAATTGAGATTTTGTAAGTTACGCCTTTTGACACTCGGCTCATATCCGAGGTCATAGTCCGTTTTTCTCAATCGATTTGGCACGTACTACAGCAAGCTTTACCGCGATCTTGATAACTTCTCGGTAAAGCTGTTTTTTGACCGCGGTTACAGAGTAAATAATAGTACAGAAGTTGCACTCCTTTGATGTTTACTGCTTGCTCACGTTTAATAGCCTACATAATTATTATTAATCAAATAAATCGGGCACGCAAGCTAAATAAACCTTATTTTTGCGCGTGAGTGTCTGCATTGCTTTGCATATTTTTCCCTTCCTGCGTCATGGCGGTCTTTCCGTGCTTACGAAGGGCTGTCATTATAGAGTAAAAAATATATTGCGGAATGGTAATTAAATTACTTAGGTGAAGTACCTATTCTAACTATGATCATATTTTCGATACTGTGAGTTCTGTGATGCATACGGCATGCAAATTGCAAGGCCATTCGTCGGGAACCGCGATGCTTGTTTTGGAAGAAATAGATAGTTAGTGTAAGCAACAAATAAACCTGAAAAATATTTGCTGACAGAAATATGATCGTATTCTACTTAGTTAGTCTTGTAGGTAAACAAAGTTTTAATTTTAGTATTTTGTGTTATTATAACTTAAAATATTTTAATTTCTAAAAACAAGTATAGGTATGTAAGTAGATACCTACTTAGATAGTAAAGCAAATTTCAAATAAATTTTTTAATAAAATACTTAGGTATTACTTCTGTAGTTAAATTATTACTTAATTCTTTTTTGCTATAACTACCTATCTAACAAAAAAAAGAAATAATTTCATTTTCCATAACTTCCTACCAATATCCTTCGGTAACTTTTAGAATGATATATCTGAAACCTTTTGTTGGTCATTTAGCATCCATTTTTAATGCAACAATTATAGTAAGAACGACGTTTAGCCATTATAATTTATTAAATAACTAATATATTAATAATATTGTTGCGCGCCACAGTTGAGTCGGGTACGTGACACTAGCGCCATCTATTATCAAATAGAAGAACTAAGCTTTCTAGAAAACTCCACTCTCGTGTTTTCTACATCTAGTCGGTTGGGACCGGTATTTACTGGGACATTATAAATGTTTCGGTGGAAAATGCCTATATAAAGCCATTGAGGGTCGTGACCGGGGCAGTATTGAATTGGCGATACAAGCGAAGCTTCGGAGCGAAATAAAGTGAACTAAAGTGATCAGTGTGATTAATTATTAGTGTCTTTTAAGTTTTAATTGGTGTTCGGTAATTAAAGTGTTAATTTTGATAATTTAATCGGTAGTTTTTACTGTCACAAACCCTAAGCTCGTAACAATATATATATATATTTTTATATATATATATATATATATATATAAATAATTTTTAAATTAAATTAAAACATTTGCATCTATTTCATCCTACAATTAAATATACAAAACACTAAACAAAAACTATTTCAACAAGTATTTACAAAAAAAAAAAGTATTTCTCTAAACAGCGTTAAAAAAAACTTTAATATTCAATCGCCTACAATGCTCTATCCCCGACTGCGTATGTTGTGTGCCGCGCGATTGTAGGTAATTATTTCACGCAGGTAGCTAGAGTGACAGAGAGCTGCTGCGGTTTTTTGAGCCGACGCGACGAGCTAGGCTCGCGGCCAGAGTTGTATGAATTTTGGCATTTAGCATACAAACTCATAGAATAAATAAATGTTTGGCTCACTAATGTTTTAGGAACAACGAGCCATGCGTAAGAGCGCCGTAATCCTAACTGCTAGCTTTATACTTTGCCTTATTCAGGGCCTTTAGAGGAATGAAACAACTTTTTCCCAAAAAGCCAACCGTTTTTATGTAATCGACTATGCTACCCTAGAGTGTGAGCAATAGCGATTTTTAACCGACTTAAAAAAAAAGACGAGGTACTCGATTCGATTGTAATTTTTTATGTGTTACCTCAGAACTTTTTCTGGGTGAACCGATTCTGATGATTCTTTTTTTTTTTTTTATTTGAAAGCTGGTGCTTCTCATGTGGTCTCATATAAAATTGATCAAGATCTAACCAGTAGTTTTTTCCCCAATATTGCGTATTTAATTTTGACTTTGACTACATTGATGATGTTCTCATTTTATTCATATTGTAGTCGGTTATACAAAATTTTAAATTTACCGCTCTTCGTTTCGGGTGCTTTCCACCCCAAACGTCAGGTATTACAATTAATATAAATAAAACGCGATAAAATCCGTAAAAGTAGTTTTAATCAATGTATAGTGTTCGCGTAAATATAAGAAATCATTAGGTATGCTTTACCGCTCGTTTAAATCTGTTATCCGCGTTTCTGATTCTATCATTCAGTCTCAGGTTCATGCACATACATTTTTAGCAACAACTACTTGAGCTCAGTGTTCCCAACGACTTCTGGTATAGAAAACTTCACGTTTGTAACTTTAAATGGTTTTAATTTCAGAGATCCAACGCCACCAATGGGTAATGGCGAGGGTCTTTCAACTTCTGAGGAGCTGGTTCATTTGAGAAGACAGATCGTCAAATTAAATAGGCGTGTCATGTCCATCGAGGCTGAACAATTACAACGTCAGCAGAAGGAAAAAATAGCTTACGCTATTGGAATTGCTTACTTATTGTTCAAAATGATTGCTTGGCTCAATCGATCTTAATCATAAGATGAACTACTTAATGAATTGTTGACATTATGAAAACTACCTGGTCGAAGCCATTCTAAATGCGGCATGAAGTTTAGAATTGTCCTTAACATGGTATAGAAAACGGGATATGTTATAAATATTTCCTTGTGAGTTATAATTTCTTAGTTTTAGGCAATCTTTTTTACAACCTATGTACATTTCTGCGATTTGTTGTACAGTGAATATACTAGCAATTGTTTATAAACCACTCAAAACTCTTCTTCATCTCATGAACTGCGTATGAATTGTGAATTACAGATTTGTCACTCACTATGAGGAGGTGTGCTGTAGGTAATTTTTATTTAAATAAACGTTAGAATCCAAATAACAAGTGTTGCTTATTTATTTTAAGCTCCTTCGTTTATTTATTAACACTATTGAATTCTCCATAGAAAAATACAAAGGGCGGACTTAATGCCTTTATTCGTTTTCTTCCAGTCATCATTCATAAAGTGGTAAGAATTCGCCGTATTGGTATCAATGCTAAAATAATATAATATAATTACAATGGGGAACAGTAAAATACTTTAAACAGGCATATAATGTAAATAGATATGTAATTTAATGACAAGTACGAGCTTTGCTCGTTTTTTTTTGAAATTACATTTAGATACAAATTATATACTGATGAATAATATTTTTAGATCTAATTGACATAATAGAAAAAAATGAACTGGTTATTTGAATAAAAAATATTGAGTGCAATAAGTTTAGTTAAAATTTTAGTATTTTTAAAAAATACTAAAAAAAAGAGCTCAAAATAATAGATTTTCTTACAAAAGAAGGGAACTTGAAAACAAAGGAAAAAAAAAATCGGACCGAGGGCAGGACGAATCAAGGCATTACGATTTCGCGACCGTTCGATATCCACTCGAGCTTTTACGATCATTTGCATAGTGTCATTTACCTTCTTATGTTGTAGCAGTTTTTGATTGCCTGAAAACACGGACAAAAAGACATTTTCTAAAAATAAATCCTAGCTAGATCGATTTTTGCCCCCGAAACTCCCTGGACACTAAACTTTATTAAAATCGTTGGAGCCGTTTCCGAGATTCCGATTATATTAGTAAGCTGAAGTGGCAATGGGCCGGCCATATATTTCGAAGAACCGATAACCGATGGGGAAGAAAGGTTCTCGAGTGGCAGCCTCGTACCTGTAGGCGTAGTGTAGGGCGACCCCCCACTAGATGGAGTGACGACCTGGTAAGACATGCAGGAAGTCGATGGATGCAGGTGGCTCAGGACCGTGCTTTGCGGCATTACTTGGGGGAGGCCTATGTTCAGCAGTGGACTTGTGTAGGGCTGTAATGATGATGATGATGATATATACGAATTTTATTATTAATTATATATAAGAATTGCTCGTTTGAAGGTATAAGATAATATGGAGATATTTAATAATTACAAAGATATAATACCCGCCGAATAGACGGTTTTTAACTGAGATTTTTTCCGGTATTTTATGGTTTTTGGTACGACTGAGGTAGTGGTATGCGGCGAAAAACATCCCGCGTAACAACGGGAGAACCGCGCATAGATAATACACTATATACCAGAAAACCGCGCGTAGTGTGTTGGCTCACAGACGTCTTCAAAGAGTGGAGTGAAGAGTCAAGTTATTTGCGCCCTCCTTTCTGCCAAGGAGGGTCGCGTCCGTTTACGGCTTAAAGATCTCTCGTCAGATCGGTAATTCAATCTCTAAAGGCGGTGTTTAGTGGGTAAAAGTCTCCACAGAAACCACGCAGCCGGCTGCGTGGTATGCTATGAGCATTCACCGCCTCCCTCCCCAGCATTCCGGAGGGTTGCCCTTATTGCTTCGGGCGCAAAAAAGTTATTTGTGTTTTGTAGAATAATCAAATATCTAGCAATTTCTTTTTTGATGACAATACTGCTTATTAAAATATTTTTAGACATCAAATAAATATTCATTCATCCATCGTTCAAGACAGCCTTTCATAATTCCACTGCTGAACCTATGCATCCTTCATGGGATTGTAGTTTTTCATAATTTTGTGGCGTTATTTAGAACATGCCACTGCACTACCCATGTCCTGTTTGAGTTTCTCTCCGTCGACTCAAATGGCCCACGAGTTGATATAGAATAGTAAGATTAAAATAGCGTGTTATATGGCGGGCGCTTATTGTATATCTATACATATAATAATTGAAATAATACTAGTTTTTACGGATTTTATCGCGTATATTTAACTATAAATACCCGATGTTATATATACGATAAGAGCCGTGGTAGCTCAGTGGTTAACGCTCGCTGTAAATATAACAGAACGCGAGTAACCCGGGTTCCATCCCCGCCGGCACCAATGAAATTGTTAATTGCAATTTTAAGTGCTGATTTACCACGTGCTCGGCGGTGAAGGAAAACATCGTGAGGAAACCTGCATGTCTGAGGAACAAGAAAAAAAATATTTCGAAGACATGTGAAGTTCGTCAAAACGTATTTGGGCAGCGCGGCGGACACTTCCTTGCCCTAAACCCTCTCAGAAATGAGGGGAGGCCTGAGCCCAGCAGTGGGAGGTATATAGGCTGTAACTTTACTTTTACTTTTACCCGATGTTATACCCGAGGCAGTGTCTGAGTAATATGCAGTGTTACTCAGACACTGCCTTACATCTGGCTACCTATTGTGGAAGGAAGAGTTCTACAAGCAAGTAGATGGTGTGGCGATGGGCTCACCTGTATCTCCCATTGTCGCCGACATATTCATGGAAGACTTTGAGGAGAAAGACCTGCTTACTTCTCTCATAAATCCAAGATACTTAGACGACACTTTGACAATTCTACCTTTAGATAAAGTAACTACATTTTTAGACCATCTTAACTCTATAAATTCTAAAATTCAGTTCACAATGGAGTTAGAGGCAAACAATTCTTTAGCTTTTCTAGATGTGTTAGTAATTCGGAATCCTGATAACATCTTGAGCCATACTGTGTATAGAAAAAAGACCCATACAGATAGATATTTAAACGGTGATTCTCACCACCATCCTTCACAGTTAGCTACGGTGGGTAAATCTTTGTTTCAGAGAGCACGAGGGATCTGTGACAGTAAACACCTGGCCGAGCTCCACCACGTCAAGCAAGTGTTGCATGACAACAAGCTTCGGGTACCACGCCTACGTCACAGTGAACGTGTGAAGCCGGCAACAGTCGAGCGTGTACCTGCTGTACTGCCATATGTTAGAGGAGTCACTGACAAGATTGGCTACATCTTGAAGCGCGCTTCCATCAAAACATATTTCAAGCCGCCGAAGAAGATTGGTCAGTTTTTACCATCAGTCAAGTGTAACGTCCCTCTGCAAGATGCAGGAGTGTACAAGCTTGATTGTGACATTCACAACAACATTAGTTATTTTCAAAATCAGTCTCTCCTACATAAGACAAACTAAAAGATCAATTAAAACCCACGTTAAAGAACATATAGCTGATGTGAAGAATCGACGCTCCGGGAAGTCTGCAGTCTGTGAACACGTACAGGATCGCTCCCTTCACTACATCAGATTTGATAGACCACTAATCCTCGCTAAAGAACACCGATTCCTTCCAAGGATGATTCGCGAGGCTATTGAAATCAAAAAACATCCTAATTTCAATAGAGAAGATGGCTGGGTGCTACCATCTGCTTGGGATCCTATAATAAATAAAATTAAATCCCAACCCAAGCATACAACTGCAAGACTTCAAGATACCATAAGTTCATACTGTGTAGATCGGAACAAAAGTTAAAAATTTTTTATCTATGGTAACCGCTGTTAACTATGACATCTGGACGTTGAACATCTCAGTCCCCCCCGTGACCATGGGTGCTGTAAAGCGCTCGAAACGTCGGGTATTTATAGTTAAATATACGCGATAAAATCCGTAAAAACTAGTATTATTTCAATGTGTAGTGTTCGCGTAAATATAAGAAATCATTACATACGAGGGCTGCACTAAAAGTATCGGCAATGGAATATTTCCACTGTTCCTGTCATATTAAAATCTTTTTAATTGAAAACTCCTTGGTTTGAAAAATCGAATACCATTTATTTAAAAAAAGATTCTCGGTCTCGTCACAAGGTGTTGTCAAACTTGTTTAGACGTTGAGAAAATGGAATTGACTCGAGAAAATTCAAGAGCGATGATTTATTATGACTTTCGAAGTGGTTTAACACAAAAACAGTGTGTTGACCGGATGATTTCCGCATTTGGTGATGAAGCCCCATCCAAAACCACAATTTATCCCTGGTTTGCTGAATTTCAACGTGGACGTGTCAAGCTCAGTGATGATCCCCGTCAAGGTCGTCCAAAAACTGCAGTCACCCAAGAAAACGTTGATGCTGTGCGTAAGCTGATTGAGGAAGATCGACATGTGACACCGCGAAATTCAGGCAACTTTAGACATTGACATGAGTCAAATGGAAATAATCTTGCATGAACAATTAGGTATAAAAAAGTTGTTTTCCCGATGGATACCGCATTCGCTCTGTGAAGAGCAAAAAGCGGCTCGCGTTACTTGGTGCGTCAGAACTCTCAAAAGATTCCACGCAGTATAAAACATCGTATCAGGTGACGAATCCTGGATATACGCGTACGAACCCGAAACAAAAAACCAGTCACGAGTTTGGGTGTTCGAAAATGAGTTAAAGCCAATAAAAATTGTTCGTTCACGGAGTGTTGCAAAAAAAAATGGTGGCCATGTTTGTCTCCAAAACCGGCCATGTTACGACTATTCCTCTTGAGGAACAAAGAACGGTTAATGCAGAATGGTATGTTAGCATTTGTTTGCCACAGGTCGTTTCTGAACTCCGTAAAGAGAACTGCAACCGCCGCATCATCCTCCATCACGACAATGCGAGTTCTCACACCGCACACAGAACAAAAAGAGTTTTTAGAGCAAGAAAACATAGAATTATTAGACCATCCGCCGTACAGCCCCGACCTAAGCCCTAATGATTTCTATACTTTCCCTAAAA